CAAGAGGCCATAAGAACTGGTGGTCCCAGTTTGCATGATAATCACTTTCCTCCCAAAGTTCAGTTGTAGTGCTAGATGCTAAAACAATAATAATCAGAGGTATACCTTGTTTACTATATCATGATTACTTATAATAAGGAGAATTAGTACATCATCTATCATATTCTCTACTACTGACTTAATCTATGTAAACGACAAATAGTAAATAGATCTGCACATACCTTGCATGTGGCAATAGTGGCACTGCAGATTTAGTCTACCTCTATATTTTAAATATTAGATATCACACTTGTATGAGGACTTAATATATTTGTGTTTTGGTGCCTCTTTAAAGGTTGTGTGTTTCTTTAGAATATGGTTGTATCTTAAAATATTTTCTCAGTATCTGTCACCGTTCTTGGCACTTTATGCATGCTTAATAATTGCTCTTTGGGTAGAATTGTGTTTAGTCTAAAAAATGAAGGCTTTGATATCCTTGTTTCAGCACTTGTTGTAATATGTGACACAGGGACATATGAAAATTTATTTATCTTGGGCCAGCCATGGTGGCTCACACCTGTAATCCCAGCACTTTGGGTGGCCAAGGTAGGCAGATCACCTGAGGTCAGGAGTTTGAGACCAGCCTGGTCAACATGGTGAAACCTCATCCTTACTAAATATACAAAATTAACTGGGCATGGTGGTGCATGCCTGTAATCCCAGCTACTTGGGAGGCTGAGGCAGAAGAATCACTTAAACCTGGGATGCGGAGGTTGCAGTGAGCCAAGATCACACCTTTGTACCCCAGCCTGGTTGACAAGACTGAAACTCCGTCTCAAAAAAAAAAAAAAAAAAAAAAAAAAAAAATTATTCATTTTGGAGTTTAGTATATCCTTAGCCTTAATGAAACTACAAAAGTGGCAAAGAACAAACAAAAAAAAATCAGAGCAATTATTATTTAAGATTCCAATGAAACAACATTAAACTATGGATAGTTCACATTTGTTATTTATGGAGAACTCTTTTCAGGAGATAAAAATATATCTCAAAATCAAATTATATCATCATCCAGGCAAGTGGTTACTATGTCACTAAAGTAGGAAAAAAAGGCAGTAAAATTACCTAAAAGCTGTTGGAGAAAAACAAATATTTAATGCATTCAACATTCATTAAATTAGAGCTTTAAATACCAAGTTTAAATTTGAGTGGGCTGTGGGTCACTCTCTTTACTTAACTGTCATATGATTCTAGGAAGGCTACATGCCCAGAACAGTACAGGACAATGTGTGGTATTAGTTTGATTTTCCGGCCACCAGAGAAATCTACCAGCTGTCACCACAGAACCATAAAGTTCATAAAAATCAAGTATCTTAAACACACACACACCACATACACACACACACACACACGTTTTTCAAACACTGGAAAGTTTAATCTATTTGACTGACTCTCCAAGTCTATGAAAATGTCAATCCTCTTATTTTTCTAGTTCTCAAAGTGGACAGGAGGCCATGACAGTTAGGGCTAGAACTGGAATAACAGAGCCCCCAACTGTGAAGTTCTCTGGGCCCCAAACTATCAGTAGCATAAAACATGACCAAGGTACTTAAATATTACTGTAAGTGTTTCTGTACAAGAAAAAAATGAATTCAGCAGAACTCTTTTCAGGAAAAGAACTTCATGAATTGAAAATCGTGTCGATAACCTGATCGGGAATACAATGAGACACCAAGGAAAGTTCAAACAGCAATTGATTGTTTGCAAACCAACCAAAAATGATGGGAGCCATTTACAACAGTTTTGGTTTTGCTGAGTGAGGATACACAAGATTATAGTTAGGGGTGAATTACTGTAGATACCTCTTGGTGTTTCATCACTCAGTAAGCAACCACACCACTCTAGAGAGTTTATTTAGAAATAAAGTTGAAATAAGTATTTAAATACTTATTGAATACTGTACTGGTATACTGGTTTGAAAAGGCACTAAATTTTCACAAATTAAGATGGAGGTATACTTTTTGGTTTTTTTTTTTCTTCTTCTTTTTTTTCTTTTTTTTAGACAGAGTCTCACTCTGTCACTAGGCTGGAGCACAGTGGCACGATCTAGGCTCACTGCAACCTCTGCCTCCCAGGTTCAAGCCATTCCCCTGCCTCAGGTGCATGTTACCACGCCCAGATAATTTTTTGTATTTTAGTAGAGACAGGGTTTCACCATGTTGACCAGGATGTTATCAATCTCCTGACCTCGTGATCTGCCTGCTTCTGCCTCCCAAAGTACTGGAATTATAGGCATGAGCCACTGCACCAGGCCCTATGGGGGTATTGTTAAGTTCTTTTGTTCTGTCTCATTCTTTCCCTCAAGATATTTGCCTTTTCTTGTCTTAGGAGTCCTTTGGCAGAACATAGACCACGCTCTCCTTGTAATGAGAGAATAGAGATTAGGGCCTTTCCAATGTCTTTTCTGAACTCCCTCACTGGCTCCTATGATTCCATGCTTTAAATGCTCCTCAGGTAAAGGTTGAAATGATGCCTCACCTACGCTAAAAACCCTTCATGCTTCTATAAGTTCACCAAAGCTTGTGGTAGACATGGGATGCTTTGTCGTCATTGTTGTTTGTTTTGTTTTTGAGTCGGGGTCTTGCTCTTTCACCCAGGCTGGAGTGTATTGGTGCGATCTCGGCTCACTGTAACCTCCACCTGCCAGGTTCAAGCAATTCTTCTGCCTCAGCCTCCAGTGTAGCTGCAACTACAGGCACGCGCCACTATGCCCAGCTAATTTTTGTATTTTTACTAGAGACGGGGTTTCACCATATTGGCCAGGCTGGTCTCGAACTCCTGACTTTGTGATCTGCCTTCATCAGCCTCCCAAAGTGCTGGGATTACAGGTGTGAGCCACAGGGCTGGGATGCTTTGTTTTAAAAGAAAAGTTACATTCCAACCTTGATGGCATCTTCCCTCCTTATGAAAAGAACCTGGATACTGTTGAATTAGACAAATGATATTATTTTCTTTAGTTGAAAATGAAAGACCCATGAGGTAAATATAAGCCTGCAATAGTTTATGTAGCTGACTGGGGAACTCTGGAATACCAATTAGGCTATGCATATGTAATATTTCTAAAACTCTAAGAGTCAGCATTTATGATCCTAGAAATGTCAAGCATAGGTTTTGATAGGCCACAACTATGCAATGGATGCCACTAAAATATTCCTGTCTTTTAAGCACTTTCTAATAGAATTTCTTTGACTCTGAACCTTTAGACATTTATTATTAGAGGCGTGTTTTTCTCTCTTGGAAGTTATTTTTTCTTCCCGGTTTGCAGCACTTTAATAATGCGAAGTGATTCACTCTACAGAAGCACTGAAGCAAAGAAAAGCCTCATGGAGCCATACTGAGGGAATGAAAACATATCTCATTAATTCAGCCTTCCCCTTTCATCCTCTTCCTATCGATCAAAGAAAATTATTTTAAAAATCATTCATTTGGAAACATACATATACAAGGAGTTTGAAATCTGTGTGTGTGTGTGTGTGTGTGTGTGTGTGTGTGTTTTATTTTTGCCTATACAAAACAAAATCCTCTAGAAAGCTACTGAAGCTTTCTGACATCATCAAGTTCTTTTCTGTGAGTCATTAAGTTGCTGAAGCCTAGAAAATCAAATTTAGTTTAGGGCTGCTTGATAATGTAGTAAAACAGTAAATTGTGATTCACCAATTAGTTCATGTAATTAGAAAATCAAAAACAAGCTCTGAGTGGGTGGTGGACACACCTAAGTAAAGTCCATTGTCATTGTCATTCTATGTGTTCACTTGTTATAATTTTAATAACACCTTTAGGTGATGATACTACATTCAAATATTTTTGTGAAAGAGAATCCACAAATATCTGTGTTTATAAATTACACAAGTAAATTAATTACTTAGTTCAGTCACTCATTTGTTCACTATCTTTTCCTTCATTATTTTCTTTCCAGGCTCTGTGTTAGGTCTATCTGGGCCTTGCTTGCATAGAACTCTCATTCCCTGGTACTGTGTGTAAATTCTTCAAAGATAGAAAAGTAAATGTAAGTTAGAATCCTACGAAAAGGATGGCTTTATAGTTAAAATGTAGTCCTTCTGGCTACTTCCTAAATTCCAATGATGTTGTCAGGACACGTATCAGAAATAAGAAACAACCAGTTTGAGAATTTTCTTGCTTAGAGGTTTTGCCTGGTTGAGAAGAATTATGTGATAGATAAAAATGAGAAAGGAATAGTTTTTAGATTATTTTAAACCAACGTTTCATACGACCTCTGTGCACATTGGTGGAAATCTAAGGTGTCTGGCTGTATTTAAAATGTATTTCTCTCCGTAAATTCAAATCAATACAAGGATTGGTTGGATGGTTGAAACAATTTGTCACTAAGCACTTCAAAATGTGTCTTACTTTGCTCTTTTCTTACTGCTACTGAGGTACATAGGTATGGTTATATGGTCCAGGGCTTTCCAATAAAGATAATAAAAGGATGATGGGGATGAATTACCTGAGCTTGAGCCACTAAAGAAAAGGTATTTCTCGGATGATGCAGTCATTTTCATGCTATTTTACTGTTCAAAAATGAAACAATGTTGTTCTACCATTATCAGTGATTTTTAAGCTCATATTTTAGTGTTCAAACATAACATTTTTAAAAAAACAAGAAAATTATTTTCCTCGTAATGGTATCATTGCCCCTAGATGATTTGTTCTTTGTAAGCTCACAATACGTATTTTGTATTATTACACCTCACTACAAAAAATAATCACAGAATTCTAAGGGAAGCAATAATCTTTGATTATTTTTTGTAGCATCTCAGTCATATATTTTAGAATAGCTTGGATTATATTTCACTTGAATGAAAATGCACAATCAGAAATATCAAGAAAATGTGGTTATTTATAGTTAGAATGAAAATTTAACTCCCAAGCATTATTTAAAATGCAGCTGTGTCCTCCTCAACATATATTTAATAGTTCTCTTCTTATTTTTTCCCTATTTATAGGTCAATGGAACAGAAATTGAATATGAATTTGAAGAAATTACACTGGAGAGGGTAAGAAAAAATTTTTTAAAATCCAGAGCCCCAATCTTGCATTCACATTCTGTTCTACATCTTAATGAGTTGTCTTGTGAAATTATACAATTGTGTTTTATAACCTGGAAGTTTCCCACAGGACTCACAATGAGAATATTAATGAAATGCTCACAGTAGAAAGCATTGAGACAGCAGACCAAATAACAGAATGTTCAGTATGTAAATTTCATTGCCAGGATTTGGAGAAATGAATGGGAAAGAGAAATGTTTGATGAGCTTGTACAGCACTTTGTTCGTAATGGTTTTATTATTAGTGTTTTGGCTATACATTATTTAGATATGTTACAAGACGTTTTCATTTGTGTGATATCGATACTATCATCATAACTATAGTTACCATGCGTTTCTTATTTAGTTAAAAAAAAGTGGTGCATTCTAAAACTACTCCCATAGGAAAAAACACAACAACCCCATAGAGCTCTGCAAATACACTGGTAGGGCCCTGGCAAAGTCCTTTGACAAATTAAGGAAACTCTGCAATGCAATCCTAATATATTTAGAGATTTTGCAGAACGATAAGAGAAAGGCCAAAGACCATGTAGAAAAAAGTGACCAAAAAGCATTAACAGGACATTCATTTAAAAAGAAAAAGCCAATAAACAAATGAAAACCTGTTCAACCTCATTAAGAACAAAGGAAGACATTGAGAGCAAACAGGTTTTGCCCGTCCATTTGGCAAAAACTTAAAAGGAATGTGAATATTCAATGCTAGTGAGAGGTTCTGAAAATTAGTACAACCCTACAAGAGCAATTTGGAAACATAGATTAAAAGCCTTTAAAATGAGTACATTTTTTGACCCAGAAATTGTACTTGAATGGACAAATGCACAAAGAATGTGCATATTGACATGATTTATAATAGTAAGGTTTGAAAAACATAGATGTTAAATAATAAAAAAGGATAACATGTTTATTATATATTCATATAATAGAAATTATATTGAAATATATTGAAATAGTACTTTAGAAAATATTTAATTACAAGGATAGAAGATCTACCTAGATTATATTATTAAATCAAAAATTGAGTTTTAAAATGATATTTAAAATATAATTCAATAAACACAGAGCTATGTAATATAATATATATACATAAATACACTCATAAAGCCTGGAAGGATATACACCAAATGTTATGCATTTTGGTGACTAACTCCTGTTAAGGATTTTGGGGTAATTTTTAGTTTCTCCTTGCTTATATTTATAAATAAACCTACTATGATAAACACATACCACATTTAGCATAAGAAATAAAAATGTAAATATTTTCACTAAGCTATCATTCAAACATAAATTAAGATTCCAGACCTGCACTTTTTATCCTTTTTATCTCCTTTTTAGTTGACTAATTATTCACTTTCCTGAGTCAGAGCATTTCTCATCTTCAGGCTGATTTTTATCAAGTGCGAGTGCTTTTAAACAAACATTTACATTGAAACTTAAGTGTTTGACAGATGGGTTCTTTAAAACTTCCATTATAAACTTGATAAAATTTTAATGGTATCCTAACTGGAGAGCAGTGAGGCTTATGGAAAATCAGCTCAAATGAGACAAAAAACCCCACACATTTCTCCTAAATCATTAAGTTTCTCTCCAAGACAAGCTGCATGATTTATGGAATGCAGTACAACATGAAAATGTGGGGCCTTTCTAAACACAGGACTCAATGCAACTGAACAGGTCTCATGCCCAGGAAGATGAGCCTTCTCCTTTTTCCTCATCCAATGTACATCACCATCTTGAATAGAACACTGTTTCATTGCCCTGGTATTAGAGGTTAAAAAGTAAAAGCTAACATTGGTTTGAGAGAGAACATTCAGTAGGAGTCAGACAACTGTGGGTTCTAGTTTGGATTCTGATCTTACTTGTTTGCTGATCTTCAGCTTGTCAGTTTACCTCGCTGACTTACTGCCTTGGGGTACGTGACCATACTCTGAACTTTGTTACTGCCATTAACAGCCCCCTCTCCAAAGCCTCTATCAGGCAATATCTTTCTGAACACTTCCTCCCTTCTGTTCGTATCATTTATTCTAGTACCTTCTCATTGAAACTTCTTTAGCCCCATTGGAACCTCAGATCATTGATTTCACCATTTCTGCCTAGCTTTCACCTTTCTTTATGCCCTCTCCTCCCTCACCACCTAGCATGTATTACCTGGTCCCTCACTCTAATTCTCCCTCTCATGCACATTTTTTTTCTCTTCTCTAGCTTTCTGTGCTCATCCAGCAAAATGCCAGTCCAGGTTAGCTTCCCCTGGTTAAGCCAACACTTTCCTCTTCACTCCATGCCACTGCCTCAGCAACTGGATATGGCTAGAGAAACACTCACTCATCTCACTTTAAATTTTTAACCACTGATTTTAAGTGAACTCTCAAGACTTCCTAGCAATTCTTACACACTTCTTTAGAAAAAATCACTTTCTCATACTCTGGGACAACAATTTCACACCTTATCATATCTCCTCAAATCTCAAGCACTCCCTTCTCTCATCCTCTCTTTCAGCTGTTGACCTGCCTTAATATATTTTTGAGAAAATCCAAGTAATCAAATGAAAACCACACTTTCCCACCACCAGGTCTGCTAGTATATTCTCCCATGGCAGTGAAGGAAATTTCCTACTGCATTCTAAGACCAACTTTTTACTTGTTACCTAGACTCCATTACCACTTACCCGTTGAATGATTTTCCTTCTGCAGTTACCTCCTCTCTCTTCTACAATATCAAGCCCTATCTTGCTTTTTACTGAGTAACTTTAACACACAGTATAATATCTTTCACCTTAGAAAAAATAAGTAACCATCCACTAAACCTATGTTTTCCTTCCACTATTATTACCTCATTATTCTATTTTGCTTTACCAAAAATCTCGGAAAATTGTTTGTTTTCATTAGCTCCCCTTTATTACCTCATTTTCTTATTTTAACCTGTTTCATGTTCTCATCCCCACAATAGTCATAAATCCATTTATATCAAAGTCATAACTGGTTCCATCTTGCTAAATTGAAGCATCAGTTCTCAGACCTAACTGACTTCTTAGCAGGATTTGATGCTTCCCCCTTCCTTAAAGATACCAATATTTTAACTTCCAGGACAAAACACTCCCCTGTTCTTTTACCCCCTCAATGGCTGCCCTTTCTCAGCCTCCTTGCTGACTCCTCCTCTAAAGGTTTCAGCACTCCAGATACCCAGTGTACAGATCTCTTCTCCATCTTTTCTTCATTCCCTAAATGGCCTCATCCAGACTCATGCCCTTAGATACCAGCTGTCAACTGATGACTCCTAATTCTGAAGCCATGACATCTCCCTAAATGTGAACTTTGAATGTATATGGCTAACTGTACAGTTGGCATCTCTGCTGCTTGATTATTAAGAAAGCCCCTTCCCTGCAGTCCCTCTTCTCAGGGCCAAAGAAACTGCTACCCTAATATCCTTCATCTTGACTAATTGGTTCTATCATTTCCCATGTTATTTATGCCAGAAAAATAATCTAAAAGTCTTGCTCAATTATTCTTGATTCTCAGAATTCATGAGTAAGTCCTGCTTGTGCTACCATGAAGATACATTACAAAATCAGTCAAATCTTACCACCTGCTCTGCTGAATCCTAATTCAAACCAATTTCATTCCATGCCTCAACCACCATAATAGCTTCCACTTTTGCCCTGCTGTTATCCTCCAAGTAACCCGAGTTATCTTTTTTCAAAATATTAATATAAGCCAGATCATACAATTTATATTCTTAAGACACTCCAAAGGTGATAATTAGTTTCATTATCATTACATACAAGGCATTCTGTAATGTGACACCTGCTCCTCTCTCCAACATTATGTGCTCACCACCAACTCTTCATAAATTTCACTCTAGCCACAATGACCTTGACATTTCTCAAAAAAGTCAAGCTTTTCCTAACTCAAGGCCTGTATGTATGTTATTCTAGCTGCCTGGAAATTTGTCCTTTATATCTTTGCATAGTTTATTCTTTTTATTATTTAAACATCTGCTCAAATATCATCACCTCAGAAAAATCTTCCCTGTTCACTGTAATTAAATTAGTACCATTTCCATCATTCCTTTTTCCCATTTTATTATTACTTAATTGCACTCACCAGTATCTGAATTTTATATTATTTATTTATAGTCAATTTTGTTAACATCTATCCCTTCCTGTAAATATATGCAGTACATAAAGTCATTTCATATACAAGTTTTCTAGAACAGCATCTGAAATTTAGTATATACTCAGGGAGTGCTTGGCATCTAAATGAAGTAGGCCTCGCTCTATTACTGGAAGGACAGTAACATAGACGCACATGGACTGATTTGAATCCAGGTTTGAATTCTGGCTCTAGCACTTTCTGGTCAAGTAACTTTGAACTACATACTTAACTTCTCTGTACCTCAGTTGCCACATCTGAAAATGAAGCTAAACTGTTTATAATTACCCCATAGGGCCATTGTGATGAATGCAAGAGTTAATGTAAAGGTTTAGAGCAGCATATATAGTTACTTCTAATATTTTCTTTGGTTAACATGGTAGTTCTCACAGGAATTATTTATAAATATAATTGAGGAAGTTATTAAAGACGTAGCATTCCACTCTCAGCGAACAACTTAATGTAACAAGAACTTCTTTTGTCTCTGCTTTTCTTTTTCTTTGTTAGATGTCAAATATCCAATGACAAATAAGTTATGGTATTTGCTGTGTGCATTTACAGCTTACACTTCTTCTATGTTTAACCCCTGTAACATTTAATTTAAGTAATAATCACATTTAGTAACACTCCTATGAGGTAGATATTGCTAACTCCATTTTACATATTAGGACACTGAGACTCAAAGATTAAATCACTTGCCAAAAATCATAGTTTTATAAGAGATGGAGTTAGGATTCAGCCCTGTGTCCAACAGATACTAGAACCTGAGCTTATTACCACTGAATTAGACTGCTGTCAAAATTA